TACTCGCATAGCCAGATGGGCTCTGCAATTAGAAGAATTTGATTACGAAATAGAGCACAGAGTTGGAAATCGAATGAAGCACGTTGATGCTCTAAGTCGATATCCAGTATTGATAATCTGTAACGATACATTAACTTCAAAGCTGAAAAAAGCACAGGAAGAAGACGATAGCATTCAAACGTTGAAGTCGCTTCTAGAGAAGAAAGAATCAGAAGAATTTTTTGAGCGTAACGGTATACTCTACAAATACTTAAATGGTCGAGAATTAATCGTAACTCCTAAAGCAATGGAAACTGAACTAATTAAATTGATTCACGAAAATGGTCACTTCTCAGTAGCGAAAACAGAAGAAATTGTTAAACAAGAATTTTTTATTCCAAATTTAACCACCGTCATTAAAAAAGTAATAGTTAATTGTGTCCCATGTATGTTAGCTAATAAGAAAACAGGCAAAAAGGAAGGATTTTTAAATCCTATTTCCAAAGAAAACATCCCACTAAGTACGTACCATGTTGATTTCATTGGCCCTTTGCCCTCCACGAATAAAAGTTATCAACACATTTTCACCATAGTAGACGCATTTACCAAATTTACTTGGTTATATCCCGTCAAAACTGTGTCCGCTGAAAATGCCTTGGAAAAATTAAAACTACAACAAAAAACCTTTGGCAATCCTGTAAGAATTATCACTGACAGAGGTTCAGCGTTCACTTCAAAATTATTTAACGACTACTGTATTGAAGAAAATATTCAACACCTACAAATAGCAACCGGCATTCCCAGAGGAAACGGTCAAGTTGAACGAATTCACCGAACTTTGATTCCAGTCCTTACCAAGCTATCGTTAGACGACTCAACGAAATGGTACAAATATGTCGACAGATTACAAAGAATACTAAACAGCACTGTATGTCGAAGCACGAAATGGACTCCATTCGAACTTTTAGTATGAACCAAAATGCGTAACAAGGAAGACATTCGAATCAAAGACCTACTGCTAGAAGAAATGACGGAAGAATTACAAGAACAGCGTGAATTTCTAAGGAATGACGCCAAAAAGAACATCGAAATTATACAATCTGAGAACCGAAAGACATACAACAAAAGACGAAAGAGAGCTCCTATATACAAAGAAGGTGATCTATATATATATATATATATATATATAGTAGCCATCCAAAGGACTCAATTTGGAACTGGACTAAAACTAAGACCAAAATTCTTAGGTCCTTATAAAATAACTAAAGCGAACTCTAGAGACAGATATGAAGTGAAAAAAGTTGGTCAGCACGAAGGACCGAACTTCACCACCACTTCAGCTGATTTAATGAAGCATTTTTATACAAATTAAATTTTGAATATTAGTTATTATATTTAATCTTTCTCACATTATATATTTTTCGAGAAATTAATTGCTATTATATGGTAACACTCGTTTCCAATAATCATATTATATTCGTTTCTAACCATTATATTTTCGTATAATTCTTTACCTTTCGACCTATTCGAAGGATTTTTTTTGTGATTTAGAATTTCGTTATTGTAGGTCGTAATATAGAATATTTTGGTATTATATGTTTTATTTTAGGTCCGGAAATGTGAATATTGGGTATACATCTTTTCATCTGTAAAATTTTATTATTTTATGAACAATATTTTTTATGGTTATTGCATAAACATTTATAAATCACAAAATTAATGGTTATAGCTGAATCTAATTTAGCTTTCTCTTTAGCAAGTAATATAGCTCTTAACACTCTGTAAGAGCTGAGAGACCAGCTCTGTCAGAGGAGGGTGATTTTGTAGGATATCCCATAGAACTTTCTTTCTTTTTTGTAAAAGGTTAGATCATCCCTTTGCCGAGGACGGCAATGTTAATTAAAAAAGCATTCCATAGCAACGCCATCTAGCGTGCTTATTAAAAAGCTCACTCGTTTTGGTTTCGTCAGAGGCCCTCTAACTACCGACGACTAAACATCGTATCAGTGCGTCCGCGTTTCTTCGCCACAACTGGTGGTAAGTCACATACACATCCAATAATGAGTTTCATTTAATCGTTAACGTCCTCCTAAAAGGAATTATCTATCTTTCCTATATTAATGTTACTGTACTTTAAAATGATTGCATGTCTTAATTTCTTTTCTGTATAATATTCCCCGTGTAAATACTCTCCTATAGTTCATAATAAATTATTTAGTTTCTTTAATCTATATTGTCTAATTTATTTCTAAAAGTTATAACCCGTGAGTCCTAAAAAACCCCTAGACACACATACCCTGCCAAATAAAAATCCCGCCATCTGAAGAATCAAACTTTTTCGGAAGATTTCGGTTAGATTCCCACATTTATGAACAGGAAATGTATGGAAATGCGTCCTTCCGTAAGTTTCCTTGATACATACAGCTTTCATTCCACGCGTTTGCTTGCAATGAAAGCCCTTTTATTCCATAGTGCTTATATTTTCACATATACTACCTTTCTATTGCATTGTATTTTCATTGCACTGGTGGCAACTCCTTCGCAATAATTTAAGAATTGTATGTTGAAAGATACATTTGTCGCTTATGTTTTGCACGCTATTATATTTACATATGTTGATTGCGTGGTCAAAAAAATTGAGACACCTTCTAATAACGATGGGTCCACCTTTATCATAGAATTGATTAGCTTCTAATACCATTGTTGAAGAATGTTGGCCCTCGCTTACATAATGGCAGCTCTAAATTTGGTTAGATTGCATAATGGTGATTCCATGCTTTTGAAATTTTTCAACTTCGCGCCATTAATGCTTATAATAGGATTGAGGTCAACGGACTTGGCCATGGAAGCAGGATAAACTCTGATTGATGTTTTTAAACCGATTTGAGACCAATCGAATCCAGTTGCAAAGTGCATTGTCCTGTCGGAAGTGACAGTCTGCATTAGAGGACATTATAGCAGTAAACGAGTACGTGTGAACGACAACGTTTCTGAGATATCAAGAAAAACCAGGAAAACATTCTACACAACACAATTCCACCACCACCAGCCTGAAAAAATCTCATTTGGTAGAAAAAATCGTATCTCATGGAATCTCTCATGAAATCGTAATGTTTGCGCAATATTCTGATTGGGCTACCTACATGATAGAGCAGTAAATGTGATTCATAGGACCAAGCTCCTTTTTATAGTCTTAGAGTGACCTAATTCTGTTTTTTCGTGATTCCAAAGCCAATCTTGATGGTCTCCTGATGCTAAAGCCTATTCTTTGCTAAGTCTTTCCTGTGCGTTTGAATGTGTTTTGGGATGAACCTGCATTGAATTTTGCTATAATTTGTTTTGTTGTTGCCGTTCTGTAGCTGCAGTTTATGTGTGCTAGTCACTTTCACCTCTACTTTACCAGTCCTTTTCGCCCAGAATTTACTGTCTTTATCGCTTGAAGTTTTTTCTTCTTTCACTTTGTAACAGCTCAATAAACGGTTTGACAAGGAAATCCTAGAAGTGTGTTGTTGTCGTCTGGCCCCAACTCTTCCTTCACCGACGATCATCCTTCCCTTAAAGTCTCTTACATTTTTATTTCACCCATTTTGACATTAAATTCCATGATAATTACCCATTAGAAGCGGAGGATTCCTTATGTAAAAAACTCCGGACATGTTACGTTGTTATGTCACTACATCACAGTTGGATTGGTTTATTTTCAAATATTTTTGGTGGCTCAGTGTACATAGGTATATTAGCAATTGGGCTCTTTCGTATACAAACCCTATCTTTTTAAACCCTATCAAAATGTCTGTTCTAATTAGATTCAGTTTATGTGTCTTCATTTTTATTGTTCTCTAAAGATCCTAATATTTGTTTTTGTTTTTAGAAAAAGGAATGCATATTTGATTAGAAGGCTAATTAATTCAGTAACAATAAAATGAAAAAAAAAAACCGCCCGATTTTTGTAATTATTTTCATGTAATTTAAATTACAACATAATCCAACAAATTTTAACTAACGTTACACGACTTAAAATGTTCTTCTTATAGAAAATTCACTTTTTATTTTATGTGTGTGTGTGTGTTGCATGCTATGTTAAAACTCATAAATCACTTGTAGAGACGATATCACAAGGACTGGCTTATGATAAGATTGTCAGCACAAGATTCTGTCAGCACAATCCTTGTTCAACCCTATTATGTGATAAGCTTTACTGATAAATAAATTACAAATTTTGTGTTCTTTATTTCCTTTCATTCAGCATACCAGAGCACAACTTTTCTTTTGTATTACAAAATGAATAGGTTTAAGACACAGCTTCTTTATATTTTTCAAAACATATACACAGCTTCTGTATATGTTTTGAAAAAATTTATAAAAAGTTGCTTATATATATATATAATCAAAATTTCTCTATAAGAGAGAGATGAATAAACATGATTCAAAGTATCACATTTTATTGTACCCTTCATATTACTATATTATCTTTCTCCTTGTATATAAAACATTCTCTTGATTTTCTTATAATTATATTCTTATAAATGTGTTTTAATTTTAAATGTTAAAGAAAATTCGAGTTTTTACTAAAAGTGTTTCTAATTTTTCCTAACGAACTACGATATTTGGATTTTTTAAAGAAAAATGTGAATTTTTTTGCAGTATAAAAGACCCAATTCAGAACTTTTTTCTCTTAAAAAATAATTATAATAAGACAATATTAGTTGAAAAAACTTATTAAAAACAAGTAATATAAAAAAATTAAGTCAATTCCTACTTAGGTCAACAAAGAAAATTTTTATTTCAATTATTTTTTTTAATAATCACAATTAATATAAATATACATATATACATATGACAGAATCACAATATTAAGCGACAAAATAGAGAGAGAGATTCGCCTTGTAATTATTCATTTTCCTTTCTATACATGGTGTGGGAGTATTTTATTTGTTTGTTACTATTTATTCATTAATTAAGTTTAATTATTCTAATAAAATGGTATAGTAAAAAAGGAAACACATTCTCAGAAATTAGGCCATCGCAGGTGGGTTTCGAACCCACTTCTTTTGGATTAAAAAACCAACGAGCTATCTATTGCTCTACAGGGACACAACGATTACTTTTTCTTTCTGTATATGCTGTTGGACTATTATTTTTGTTACTATTTATTCATTTTTTAATTTAATTAATGAATTAATATTTGAAAAAAACTGTATTAACATGAAGTGGTCCACTACAAGTTTAAAAAATGTATTTGACCTTGAATGAATGAATAGAAAGTATTTTATTTTCGATTGAAAATTTGTACTAGGTATATATATATATATATATATATATATATATATAAATATATATATATATATATAATTGGGAGAAAGAGTGAACTAAAAGTAAAAAGGCCAAATATTACCCTTTGGGATAGAAATATATATATGTTTAATTTCCTTTAAATCTAAGTTCTAAACTGTTCCAATTCATATATATAAAACACTCCTATTGCTTTATAGTGCGACATAAATACACTGAAGTACCATTGAATTAAGAATAGCAAGGGCTATAGAAATTGTGTAACCCTGCGCATCATTTATGCGCAAGTAAAGGCGCTGGGATAATTGCATACATAGCGCGTACTGTGGTTGTTCTGAATTAGTTATTGGAATTGAAAGTATGGGTAAACTGCCTAATTTAGACGCCTTCAATCGTGGACAAATCGCAAGTGCGCGACACATGAGCCATTCGATTTCCGAAATCGTTAGACAATTAGGATTTTCAAGGTCCACAGTATTAAGAGTATACCAAGAATATATGGATGGTGGACAAAAAAAACTAGCGATCAGGCAAATTGTTAAAGACAAATAGTATTGACAGTGCATCGTGAGAGACGACTCAGGTGTATTGTACGTAGCCAGCGAAGCCAAACATTACCTCAAATTACCACCCACTTGAATGACGGTGCCAATCGTACAGTCAATAAAAGGATTGCGCAACGCTTGCTTCTACGTATAGGTTTAGGGAGCCGTCGACCTACGAAAGCACCATTGTTCAATGCTCTCCATAAGGTTGCACGTTTTGCCTGGGCAAGAGACTGGAGTGTAGAGGACTGGAAACGAGTAGCATGGAGTGATGAGTCTCGATTCCGAATACTGAACGCCGATGGGAGGTTAAAAATATGATGCCAGGCTAATGAAACGCTGGATCCTGCATGCTAGGTTGGAAGTATACAAGGGCATTGTGACTAAATCATGGTCTGGAGTGTTTTTTCGTGGCGCTGTTTGGGGATCTTTGGTGCATGTACCAACCTCCCTCAATGCAATTCGGTACGTAGAGTTGCTGGGTGATCACCTCCATCCGTTTATGCTGTTCCGTTATCCGCAGGGTAATGGAGTTTTTCAGCAAGACAACTGTACCTATCACAAGTCCCGGTTGGCTACTGGAAAGTTGGATGAGCATTCCCCTGACTTTTCTGTCATAAATTGGCCATCTAGAAGTCTAGACTTAAATCCTATTGAGCATCTTTGGGATGTTTTGGAACAAGGCGTGAAAGGCCATCAAACAGCACCAACGAACCTTAATGAATTATGGACAGCTTTAACCAATATTTGGCAAGTCGTTCCCGTGGAACGTTTCCAGAAACTTATTGAATCTATGCCTTGTCGTGTGGCAGCTGTTATCAAGGCCAGAGGAGGCCCAACTCGTTATTAGGTAGGTGTCCCTAATTCTCTCTCTCAGTGGCACTTCAGTATATAACTCTCTTATTTACTCACACTGTTACACTTTATTTTAAAAAAAACTGCTGTTCAACTCGTTCTTTTATAATTAATTTAGATTCTTGGAGAAAAAGCTCGAATGCATTTATATAAATTTATGAACACAGAGCTATGAACAGAACTTATGAACTACAGAAAATATGTTTCAAAATATTTTGATTAAGATACACATTTGTAGAAAATATTAGTCGGTTAAGTAAAAAAAAATCCCCATGAAATATATTGCACTAAAATTGTGGATACTATTTTTTCTAATCGTATCAATTAACGGGAAAATATAGCAGATATTAATTGATAATAAATAAACTGGTTGTGTGGAGCAAAATAACTCATTGCTGTCAGTGAGTCGCACTAAAACGCAACACGAGCACTATTGATGACGGAATTCGTAATTTTGAACCATGGTCAGGTACCAAGGAATGTATATGTATTTTTCACCACTGATTTTCCCTTGTAGAAATATTCTTAGGCTTATGCCTTACACATAAAAGAACAGACTTACGTAAAAACGCTGGTTAAGAATATATGCGGCGTTTTTTGAAATTTCAATTAGTTTAAAAGTTATTGCATTTTATATTTTCCCCATTGGTTTTGGTGATACGTGTTTAGACCTGATTGGAGTTCGGTGTTCTGGTGAAAACCTAAAAATTTTTTTTGACCAAAGATGGTTACCAAACTGACCCATTCGGGTCGAAGTTTTACCAGGAACATTAAACTGTTCTTAATTTTGCGAAATTCCAGTAATTTTATCTTTAAAATCAAAGAGCCTCTTTTTTAAAACTACCCTCCAAAGAACTAATATTAGCAGTATGGGCTGTGAAGCAAACTTACAAATCGATTTTCAAATCTCTTGCATATATCGATTCGAAATCTTCCCTCGAGTACAAATATGGCTTTAATTTATATCTACGATTGTTGGAACGCAAGATATTACCCTTTGGTAATGTACTTTGTGACGGATCTTTACGCGACCTCCTACTAATAATCCTCTTAGATATTCTTTGGGGCTAGTAAAATTCCCCAATCTTCTCCTAAGAAGAAAACGTGATATGCAAATTAAGTTTATTATATATGGTTCTAGTTTGCGAGTTAAAGGGAGTTAGTGAGTTCGAAGTGAAGCAGATTAGATAGCAGTAAGTTAGAAGTTTAGTTAACTAGAGGTGACAAAAGAAATACAAGGGGAAGATTACCGAAAGGATTAGAAAGCCCATGTAAAAGATTAAAGATAGGAAGTTGTGATGGATAAATTAAATTGAATAGAAGACTGCTTAAGTTCAAATATTGTCACTTTCCTATTACGTTGATATTTAAAGTTTTAAAGTGGTTAAGCGGACATTAGTTACATATCTACTGTAAAGTTTATATAGTAATATTAAGGAGGAACTATTATTAAAACAAGTTTAGTAAACGCTCGAAAACGCGTTTACTTAACTACTTTAACTAACTAAACGAATTTTACTAAGCGAACGCGCGTTTCCCAAAACGCGACTCTCGCCCCTTCCCTTGTTGTCTGACTGAATCATCCTATTTATAGTGTTGCATTGATTCGTGTTTGAGTCGATTAAAGTGATAAATAAAATAATTGGAAATTATCGTGTCGAATAATCCTTCACTTCCTTCCACACCTTTAGCTGGATCACAGGGTAGAAGGGAAGAAGGTTTGTTACAACTTCTATGGGGAATTTAGGCAGTATCACAATAAAAACCCTGAAATGACCGCCAAAAAAAGTCTCCTATCGGAGTTAGCATCTCATCTGAATCACTATAATACTAGCCCTTTTAAAAGAGAAATGGAATGCTAACCCTTTTAAAAGAGACATCGGTACTCTCACGTACTTTACAACACATTTAACAAGTTGTCGTAGAGCCATAATATTTTACTCACAATATATCTCTTAACGAAACACTGTTTTTTTATCCATACATAAAGAGGGATTAGTTTTTCCGCTACAAAGTTGCAGATTGATGTTTTGGATAGTAATTTGTTAAGATGCAGAGAAGTTACAAGGATTGGGTATAGAGTACTGGAAACATTTAGATAAATCAGAAATACTTTTATTATCATATTTACAGACACTTAATTTCCTTCAATGTAATTACTACCTACCACCTTCTTCCAAATGACAAGAAGGTACCGTACACCATTAGCACATCCACTTCTGTTGATGTTCCTTAACAATTGCAATACAGCACGGGTAATTGCTTTCCGATTGTTGAAATAGATCTCTCGTACAGTGGTTGTTTCATTTAGGTGAAAAGATTATAGTCCCACGGCGATCATACTCATATGGCGATTATTCCAGTTCTTGCCCTCCACTTCGGCGTAGGAGGTTCTTGACTTCATTTGCAGTATGATATTCGCATTGTCAAGGAAAATGATTGGATTAGAAAGCAACAAGTGTAGTGTCACTTTCTCCACAGTGCTGGACACCGATGACGTCTCAAGAATTCTCAGCAGCAGGAGGCAGTACTTGTGTGTCCCAAAGGTATAGAATGATGCAATACCACTCCGTCAATGTCATGTGCAACAATAAACATCACCTTCCTCTGACACAACGCTGAGCACACGATGTGTCGACGCCAGGAACTAGGATGTCTCCAATCATTGGATTGTCCTTTCAAACGTTTCATTGTACTGAGCCTACGTTGTGACGATACGACGAATGAAGCTTCCATTTACCTTTCTGTATCGGTTCAATAGTCCTAAGTAAGTACATAACGGTACCAACGTTGTACATCGGACAATGTATGTGATAGCTCAGTTGATCTTGTACAATGTAAAGCATTGTTTTGTGACATCGCCCATCAGCTTCCAACAAACCAGCTTCAGTTGGCAAGTAGTTGCAATCATATTTTGAATAGACTTAAATGAAAGTTGTTAAATTTTAAATATGTCTCTTCCTACGGCCCCACTGGACCGTCCCCAAAAGCCCCCGTGTAGCTGAACAGTGGGACGATACTATTCACTCACTCACTCAGCCCCAATAATGCGAAATCCATTCATTGCATTCGTTGTTCCTTTTTAATATTAAATAATATGAATTAAATTAGAGATGTAAATTACGCATAAGAAGAATCAACAAAAATAAAAAGTGTATTGAGAATAGCTTACTATATATATATATTTATTAGATAGTATTTTTTCCTATCTATTTTATTTAGATAAATTTTGTATATATCTTAAGAATATAATCTTGGATATAGAGAAATGTGATCACAAAAAAATAATAATAATTTGATGTATATCATCTAGAGGAATTTTTTATTTTCAAAAGTGAAGGGAAATTTGAACTTTGATTTAAATTATTTTGGGAATAGTTGCAGCTTCAACATAATTACTGT